TCCTGGCCTGTTATTCCCATTGGCATTTGCATTAGCATTAGAAGAAGAAGAAGCAGAGGGGTTTTGTTGGGAAGATGAGCGCTTGCTCGGGGATCGACTAGTTCGTCTCTCTCTGCTGCTGGATCGCTGCTGCTGCTGCTGGTTTCTTTCTCTGCTTGGAGTTCTCCTCCTCCTCCTCCCTTGAGAAGAAGGAGAAGAAGGCCTTGACCTCGAGGACTGGCGGTGGCGATGGATTTTGTCCGCTGCAGACATCCCATCAGCATCAGCATCCTCATGACAAATTTCATTGACATTGACATGACCATCTACAGCATCAAAGTCATAGCTCCTCTTCGAACCAGAATACCTTCGATTGTGCCCAGAAGAGTTGCTGCGGCTGAGCCTTCCACACTGTAGAAGAATGGCGTCCAGTTCTTCTTTGTTGCAGCTCTGTGTCCTCACCCGCTTCACAACCTTGTCAACGTCATCCGCTAATTCATTGCAAGTACCAGTCTTGGTGGAGCTATTAGCAATCTGAGGTGTAGGAGGAGAAGCAGAAGCAGAGGCAGCAGCAACATCAGCCCCCCCATCTGATACTGATGGTTGTTGTTGGATTTGATTTTGGGGAAGTGAGCTTTTTCCGCAATCTCTGTCTCCTCTACTGTCGTGGCTCTTGCGGTGTTTGATGATGAATACCTCCTTCTTCACTTGGACTTGGGTTTCTTGATCTTCTTCTTCTTCTTCAATTTGTTCTTGTTTTCGTTCCGGCTTCTTCGCCTTCATTTCAACCCGACCTGGCTCTGGTACTACCGAAACCGATTTGGGCTTGTTCTTGTTATCATTTGGATCTTCACCCACTACATAGCCATAACCAGTAGCAGCAGGAGGAGGAAGAGGAAGAGGAGAGGAGCTCCTCTTCTTCTTGCTAAAACAAGTACCCATGGAGAATAAGCTTGTGGGTATGTGGGGTTCAAGCCTAAACTCAACCAACAGAGAACAGAAATTGATGTTTGATGTCGAAAGATTGAAAATTTAATCTAATCTAATCTGGGTAAATCAAATCACACAAGAAGAAACCCAATATTGGATGAAAATCCTAAAGAGAAACGGCAAGACAAGGAAAGGTGGGGTTTTGAATTATATTAGAAGAGATGAGGCTGAGGGGAAGACATGGTGATGGTGGTCCTTTGTCTTTGCTCGAGACAATTTCAAAATGGTTTCTCTGTGGCTTTAGCCGTTGGGGATTTCATCTATCTAACCATTTAATTTAATCCAGAGAGAGGAGAGAGAGAGAGAGAAAAGGACAGAGAATTTGAAATGAGTATGTTTTGCCATTCCACTAAAAGCGACTGAGCTCCTCACTCTCTGTTTATTTTCTATTTCCCCTTTTTACCCCCCTCTCTGTCAACAAAATAATGCATAGCAAAACTCCATGAAAAAGGTGATGCATTCATCAAAAAATTACTTTCATGCAGAAAAATCCATAGACATAGAGATAGTTTGCAGAGGAAACAAAAGCCAAAAACAAAAAAACAAACCCAAAAGAGTTTCTATGTCTCATTATAATGTCAAAAATTCACAGAAAATGCCCAAACATCAAGAACAGAAGTCAAGGGATGAGATGGGTTTTTAGCTAAGAATCTGTACAAATATTCCTCTTTTGCCTTTTTCACTTTCTTTTGATGAATATCTGTCTGGTGTTATCCGATATGCACAAGGGTAGAAACGGAAATTAACAAAAATGCTTCAGCTCCCTTGAGAACCCCAAAACCACGTGTCAGGCTAGTCGCGCGAATAGCAAACGCCATTTGAAATAGTGAGATGCGGACGGGCGGGCGGGATGGCGAATTTGAAAAATAGAGCCGTTAGATGGGGAGAGAACCGTTGGATGGAATTTTCCCGGCCCTACTGATTACTGAACAACCACTGACCCACCACCACCACCACCACCAATTTTTTACTCGCCATATATATATATTTATTTTTTTGGTCAATATATATATTTTTATTTCTTTGCTAGCTTTTTTTTTTTTTGGGTCAAAGTTTTCTTTGCTAGCTTAATGATGAGAGATATCGTAACTCATGAGACAACTTTTATAACTTACAAACATTTATATGCTCTCTCTACTTTCTTTTTTTGATTCCAAACCATGATGATTTCGATATCTTTTTACAATTCAAAAAAAAAAAAAATCTCTCTTTTAGTTTTGTAATGATCTTATCATGTATCCTTTCTATTACATTTATTATGGTGTCGGATATATTATTTCTTGTAATAATTTGAATTACACTCGTAACACTACCTTTTCATAATGTAAGTTACTAATTTATATATATATATATATATATTCTTTAACAATTTTTTATACTTTAAAAAATTACATATTGCTAAGGAGAAGAAAACAGAAATTAACAACTTCATTACAAATAAAGAAAATATAAATATGTTTAATTTTGAAAGTCCATATAGTTATATTTATTTTTTTGGTCAATATATATATTTTTATTTCTTTGCTAGCTTTTTTTTTTTTTTGGGTCAAAGTTTTCTTTGCTAGCTTAATGATGAGAGATATCGTAACTCATGAGACAACTTTTATAACTTACAAACATTTATATGCTCTCTCTACTTTCTTTTTTTGATTCCAAACCATGATGATTTCGATATCTTTTTACAATTCAAAAAAAAAAAAAAATCTCTCTTTTAGTTTTGTAATGATCTTATCATGTATCCTTTCTATTACATTTATTATGGTGTCGGATATATTATTTCTTGTAATAATTTGAATTACACTCGTAACACTACCTTTTCATAATGTAAGTTACTAATTTATATATATATATATATATATTCTTTAACAATTTTTTATACTTTAAAAAATTACATATTGCTAAGGAGAAGAAAACAGAAATTAACAACTTCATTACAAATAAAGAAAATATAAATATGTTTAATTTTGAAAGTAAAAGCATTCTTTTAAATCAAGTATACATAATGCATGCAAATCCAAGCCACAAATCGAGCCACACGTTTGGTGGTTTGGACAAGACTAGGGCTAGGCATTATAAATTGTAAATTGGTGAAATTAACCGAATCAGATTGGACCAAATCGGTCAATTTGGTTTTTTTATTTTATTTTATTGTTTACAATGATAAATTAGACTCAGTCAATTCGGTCTAACTTGCAGTTTGAGTATTGCCGAACCACCGATTCACCTGAACCAAATCAATCCAAACCACTGAAGTGACATGTTCTCTTGTGATTTATGTGTGTAATCAATATATTTAATGGATTCCTGGTTAGTTATTTAAATATATATATATATATTCAAGTGTTCGGCTTTAACCCTACCTCTTTCTCTCATCTCTCTCTGCACGCCTCCATCTTCATCTCCTTAAGCCACGCCACCATCTTCATCTCCTCAGCAGGTGCCTTGAGGGTGTGGCACCACAGCACAAGGCCCCCAATATTTAAGGGCTTCGAAATTTTTTACGTGTATATTATGGATATTAATATTATAGGTATTATTTATATAGTTGAGCGTGTAAGAAAGTAACATAAGTGTGTATTTGGTTGAGTTGGAATTCATCCCCTTGATTTAAGTAGGCAAGTTGGGTTCGAGTTCATATTGTGTCATTTTGTAGTTGTATTTTTACATTTATTTATTTATTGTTAACAATAGAGAAAAAAAAAAGTAAAAAGAAAAGAGGAAACACATCAAAGAAGAAGAAAACAATATATACAAGCTTTCTCCAATGAAACAAATTTTTTTGGAGTGTATATTTTCACCCACTCAAAATGAAACAAAAAAAGTTAATGTCTTTTTCCTCTTCCATTTTCTCAAATTGAAACATTAAAACTTTTATGAATGTTATTGCATGCTAACCTAAATAGATGATGAATTTTAGTTATTAGAAAAATTGTTTTATGGTGTTAAGTCATGGCAATTTTTTTAATAAATATTTTCATATTAGATTGATGGCTCCCGTTTAAGTTTTGCACAGGGCCCTCAAAATCTCAAAACCAGCCCTACTCCTCAGGCCACACTTCCATTATCTTCTAAAAATTTTCTCTCATTCTCTGTCTCTCTCAATGGTTTCTCTCTCTCATCCATCTATGTATGTTTCTCGCCACTTTCTCCCTTCTATCTACATCTCCATCATTAGATCTGGTCGAAGCTAAGATAAATCTCGGTGTTGCCGTGTGAACCAAACTGCAACCAAACCGGTGGTTTGGTTAATCAGTGTTGTCGGTTCCTCCTCCCGTTGGTTCAGCATTGGTTTTCAAAAATTCAACATCGAGGAGTCTAGTTCGGTGAGCCCCTCACAACGTGCATTGGTTTGGTTGCCCAGCACTAGACAAGACTGGACTATTTCAATTAAATGAAATAACAATCTAACATATTGTATGATACAAGTCCAATATACCAATGTGGGACTCATAAGAACTGGCTTGAATTAAACTCAAATTCATTCCAAATTGAGCCACCAAAGATGACGAGGAATAAAGAAAGAGATTACGTTTGAGAAATAAGAAGTAATAAGAGTATCCACAGTGATGGGATGTAAATTCGGGGGTGTAAAATCACTTTTACATCCCCTTTACACATCCGGGGGGTGTAAATATGTTTTTTGCTCCAATGGGGGGTGTAAATTCGGGGGTGTAGCTGTGGGTCCCATCCTTTTATGTTGTTTTTTTTTTTCATTTTTATTCTCTTTTCTCGGGTGGGTCCAGTCTGCAAGGGATGCAAAAATAGATGTAAATATACATTTTATTTTACATCTCCATGGTGGTGATATATATTTACATCCATTTATATCTCCCCATTGGAGACGATTCCTGTAACTTGGGATGTATATTTAACATATACCCCCATATACATTCCCCACTGTGGATGCTCTAAGCCCGGAGAAAAGATTATAACCTCAACTTTAAGCCCAAACCCAATTTTATCCGTTTGAAAACTTTTTGAAGCCCAACCTTTCCAACCCAAAACCCAAACCGCTAAAACCCTCCCGTCCTCTCCCTTACGCCACCAAAACCCTCCATAACCAAAAACCACCATGGACGAAGAACGCCACCAAGACCTAGACGCAGAAGCAATAGAGCCATTCAACGATGGCGCAGACATCTGCCAGCAGCTCATGGACCGTTACGCCAAGTCCTCGGCTTCGCAGCACCGCCACCTCCTCGCCACTGCCGCCGCAATGCGCTCAATCCTTGCCGCCGAGTCGCTTCCCCTCACTCCACCGGCTTATTTCGCCGCCACCATCTCCGCCATCGACGACATGTCGTCTTCCGCGTCCCAGAACCTGGACCCCACCGGCGTAGCGGCGCTGTTGTCTTTTCTAGCCATGGTGCTCCCGCTGATGCCTCCACGGAGCGTCTCGTCAGGGAAGGCGGGTGAGGCCGTATCGATGTTGATTGAGCTTCTGGAGAGAGAGGAGGGGCTGGCCATGTCCAGCGTGAGGGCTTTGATAAAATGTTTGGGGGTTTTGGTGAGGTTTTGTGATTTGGAGAATTGGGGATCCATCAAATTGGGTTTGGAGACATTGCTCAAGTTCTCCGTCGATAGGCGACCCAAGGTGTGTATTTCTTTGTTTAATTTTGTAGGAGGTCTTTGATTATGTTGTTGTTTACGTATAATTAGCATAAGTGGGTTTAAAATGTGTACACTTGGTGTGAGCTGCATAGGGAGCATGAGCTTTGTGCATAACAGCTTGGTAGTTTGGAGGACTTCTATATGGAAAGTCAAAAAATTAATGACTATTTGCAAACCATAATGACAATACAAGTATTTTATAGTAAGATTGTTTAGAGCTAGCCTTGGTCTAATAGTAATATTGTTCTCTGGTGAGTTGGAGGTGAAAGAAACAAAAACAGCCTCTCCGCAAGCTGGGTCTGACCATTTAAGACCTTCTGATAACGGGAGCTTTGTGTATTTGCTACCCTTTACTAATTGAAGTTGGATTATTTATATCTGGAGAATTTATGCGCATAGTTTCATTATTGCAGGTCCGTAAATGTTCCCAAGATTGTCTTGAGAGTGTTTTTAAGTCGCTCCACTCTCGTGCTGTTATCAAGGAGGTGAGCAAGCTGGTACTGTCTAAGCTCAAAGGTTACATGCCTTTAGCAGTTGAATTAAGTTCACGGACTAAAAATGGACCTAAAAATCTAGAGGTCCTTCACATGCTAAATGTGGTGAAGCTTACTGTTCCCTTTCTCTCAGCAAAAGTCAGTTCAAAACTTCTTTCAGAAATGAATAAGCTTGTTGGTTCACGGTTCTCAGCACTCACAAGGCACGTTCTCCAAATTATTGAAGCATTATTTAAGACCTCAAGAGTTAATGTGATTGTTTCAGAGACAGAGGAGGCTATAGCTTCTCTTGCTTCATTTGTGTCTAAGGGAGATAAGAACCCCTTGGACACTGTCATGTCTGCAGCAACCTTACTAAAATCTTCTGTGTTCATACTTCATACTGGTGAATCAACATTGTGGATTAATAATCTTCCTCTAGTATGTGGTTCTGTGGCGGGTATGCTTCTTTATTGTATTTACTATATCTAGACACTTTGACGCTCCTGTATTAAAGTCAACATCTATGGATTAGCCAAATTTTGTTTTTTTTATTTTCATTAGTCACTAACTAAATCTTGTTACAGTTGAAATATAGTCTTGAACGCTCATAAATTGACTATTCTCATGCTGTCATTTAATATTATCTATCTTTAAGGCAACTGGCATGATTGGTGGGGATTCTTCTCCATACTATATTGCCACTGAAGTTTCCTGGCCTGTTTCCGTGCTTTAATATGAAGCTATTGCAGTGTTCTTTTGTAACTTGTTAATCCACACCAGTTTGCAAGATGTTAAGCATCCTTAATTGTTTGTTGATGTCAAGCTTCTTTTTAACGGTCTTGTGATTAGTTTTTGCGCTACACTATTCTGAAGGGTATAAGAAAGGCATATCTGTTGATGAACCTTAATCTGCATTTCTGACCATGTACATTGTGCCTGTTAGTTGAGGTTTTTTTGGCTTACATGTTGGTGGAGGGTATTTGATATACGTCATATCTATCTATAAATTCTTAACCAAAGCTATTTTTTGGTATAGTCGTCATGTTATGCACTTAACAGAAATTGTTTCTTGTGGCTCTCTAATATGTCGCCTTAACTCATCTAGGTCTTTTGACTTCTGAGGCTAGCACTGCAGCACATGCTTCAGGTATTTTGCAAGAGCTGATAAGCCAATTTGTGGATCAAAGAAGTTTGCTGGTGGCTGAAAGCCAATGTTCTGAAGATGGAGGACATGAGACTATGAAAGCAAGTGCATTAATATCAATATGCACTATTTTTGAGGATGCCCTTAGCACTTGTAAAGGATTGCCAAATGAGCATCTTTTGGATGTTATATCTGCTCTGTTCCTCAAGCTCGGTATGTATATATTGATGATTCACATGACTTTTCTTTTTATCAGGGATTTGCATAACTACAATATAGCCATATCATTATTGTTATTAGTTGAATACTAACACTGGTGCATAACTCCTAATGAGGAGGAGAGTGTGGATCATGTCTTTCTCCCTTGTATTTATTCTTTACAGTTGTGGTGGAAATTGTTTAGGGAGATCAAAGCTAGTTGGCATATCCCAAAGTGCTGTTTTGAGTTTCTGAACACCAAGTTTGTTAGAAAAATCTTTGGGGATTATAGTGTGCGAGGGTAGATGAACTCTGGGACAGGGAGGTTCTGGGCAGCTTTTTGAGAATCAGTTTCGGCTGATTTGAGGGATTATTTTCATTCTTCTTTAATGTTGGATTTGTTAGCAGCTGTGAAGTGAGACTAGATTTTTTGAATTTTGTGTCTTTTTCCAATTTACCTCTATTTGAGTGGTCTTTTATTGTATTTTTTCTCTTTCTTCATATTGTGGATTCCTTATCCACTCTTTGTAATTAGATTTCCTACTTTAATAAAATTCTGTTTCCCTTTAAAAAAAATTAGTCGAATACTTCATTCATATATTTTGCTAACTTTTCAGTTAGTTATTGTTGTTCATGTTAAAAAACACATTGCAATGTTTGATATATTTAGGTTTTTTTTTGTAATTTGGCAGCTTTGTCAGCTAACTTCATGACCTTGCATACTCGTTGGGTTTGTAATGGTTTTTGGATTAATTATTGTGGTTGTGTCATTCCATTTTTTAAATTAATCAAATTCCAAAGTCTTTTCTTCTCCAAGTGGTTAGAACTGTTTTCCACTATTTGTATCTTACATTGTTTCTTTCACTGGTAATTCAATTTCTAATTGTTACTCTGGATGTTTGATTGTAGGAGGAATCTCCTATATCTATATGAAAAGTATTCTTCTCAACCTTGCCAATTTAATGACCCTTGCTAGTGGGGACACATCTAACACTGATCATGTAAGTCTGAATCGAAAACTTTTTGGCATTTGGAATAATGGTAGCGCTTTGGTGCAATATTCCACTAATATCTGTAATTTATCACCTTATTGCTGCTTATGTTTTCTCATATCTTTTATTATAAATTTGCGCGATTTCAAATGTTATAAAATCCGATAAAGTCTCTTGGTTGTTGTTCTGGATCCAACTTCTCATTTTCTGCATACTTCAAATGTGCTTGTGTCCGGGTGCAGTGGATTTTTTTTTTTACAATCATTGGATGTCCTTAAATATTCATTACTTTTTTTGAGGGTGTTGCAGCTGGAAATTGACAATATTTATTTGATTTTGTGGTCTGTTAAGTGTATCTCTTCAGAAGGAAAATGAAAAAGAAGAGAAGATAGATGGGCCGTGGGCAGATGTATTTACACACACACATACATATAATTACCCTCTATAGGATCCTTATTTAAGGATTTGTTTTTTACTTGTTATCACTTTAGGTGTGTGTGTATGTATATGTTTTTATGTATATATCAGTACAATTATTCTCAAATAAGTTGATTTTCAAGAATTTGTTGGATATGAATAACTGAAATGTGCAATGGGTGAGATGCATCTCAACCAGTCAACTGTTCATGTTTGATCTACTGGGTTAAGAAACAATTCCTTGTTTAAGGATCTTATAAAATAATCTCTCTCTCTCTCTCTCTCTCTCTCTCTGTATAACGGTTTAATGTCCCTTTTATCATAACTTGCAGCTTCAGAAATGTATTGGAACTGCAGTAATAGCTATGGGACCAGAGAGGATTCTTGAACTTTTGCCCATCTCTCTTAATGCTAGCGACTTCACCTGTTTAAACATTTGGTTGATACCTATTTTGAAGAATTATGTTGTTGGAGCATCATTGGGTTACTATTTGGAGCATATCATGCCTCTTGCGAAATCCTTTTGTCGGGCCAGTACTAAAGGTATTTTCTTCAAACTATTCATATAGAATTTGCAAAAAAAGTATAAATTCGACACATGCATATATGGATTTTTGTGTCTATGGGCTGCTGTGATGCTGCAGCAGGATTTAGTTTTATCCTTTCCTGTCCCCATCTATACTTCCTCTTTTTTGGCTTAAATATCTCCTTAATGAGGATGGTCATGTACAAAAATGATAAAGTTCAATTAATCAAGAGAGTTTCTTTTGAGTTTTTTTCTTTCCTAATCATCTTTATTTTTCTATGAAATAGGAGTGCACAATGTACATCATTATGAATAATGAATTTAATAAGAAATGTTTTAACTTGTCCTTTTGGTTTGCATGGATACAAAAAGTATGCTTCTTACTTAGATTCTTGAAAAAACCTTTATACAACGTTTTCAACAACTCTAGATTCTCAGCTTTTCATTACATAAATTTCAATTTAAAGCTTACCCGTTCAACTCATTAGGTGACATCCTAGTCACATGAGAATAAAGAGAGGTCTAAAATAAAAATACTAGTGGCCTTCTGGCTGGTTGTTTTTGTTTTTTGTTTTGTTTTATTGTTTTTTCGAAGATAGGAAGATTTGTTCTTACTATATCTTGAAACTTTCTTCGAAACATGTTTTACCTTTGTTATTAGTCTCACCACCTCTATATGAGATGAGTCTTTTCCTTTCTGGGTATGATGAGGAGTACAAATGCAATGAAGTGAGGGATAAATTTTTCTGTCTCAAACCCTATTCTTTCCTCTGATTTTCTTTTATTTTATTTTAAATTTTCAATGGCTTCCATAAAATGCAATATGTCACTGTACATAAGTCACCCGTTTCTGGACATCACATTTTCTTTTGCTCCTTTTCCAGTTAAAAAGTCAATAACCAGTCAAGATCTACAGGCTCATGCACGTGATCTGTTGGGATTGCTACCTGCTTTCTGTAATCTTCCAACTGATATATGCCAAAAGTTTGGATCTTTGGCTGAGGTTTTAGTGACATTTCTGAAGGACTCCTTAATGCATGAAAATATTGCAGTTGCCTTGCAGGTGATTTCTCCTTCACAATAATTGGAATCCAAATAATTCACTTGAAGTTTGTTATTGTATTCACGTTTCCTATTGTATTTGTGATTTTTTTTGTCTAGGTTCTTGTGAATCAGAACAAAAGAGTACTTGACCAAAAAGATGGTGGTGGTGAGACAAATTCCTATGATGTGAACGAAATGTTGCCAAAGTTTGAACACATACCCACTTATTCAAAGAAAACTGCTACCAGAAATATTAGGGCTTTGACATCATGTTCTGCTGAGTTGCTTCAGGCACTAACAGACTTATTTCTTGATTCACCGCCTGGGAAGCGTTCATATCTAAAGGTTTTTCAGTTTTTCCCTTGTTTAAACTTTATTAACTAGCCAGAAATTGTCAGCATAACCTCAAACCAACTGGTTTTAAGCTGTTTAGTTTGCACTATGTGGGACGCCTGTGTACTCAACTGTAGGTGAAGCACTTTACTGTCCACTAGGGTTGGTCTTAACTAGGTTTGGTTCACTGTCCTGAATTTTGTAGTATACAATGTTGAATCAGATCCAACTCTGGTACAACTTTGGACAGCTTTTGACGAACCTGGATAAATTTTCTTATATACATATATATGATATTTGTCTCCATGTTGACTCAAATAATATGTATTTTCATTTTTCAGGATGCCATAGGATGCTTGGCTTCAGTAACTGATTCGTCCATTTCCAAGAAGATTTTCGAATCATTGCTCGAGAAGTTCCAGTTCAAAGATGGTGGGGATGAATTTGGAAAGGTGGAGAGTCATACGGATGCATCATCTGGTGAAGAACAACGCAACCTGAGTACTAGAGAGAAAGATGCTCAGAGGTAAGCTAGAGGCTTTCTTCCACATTGTATAGAAGTGCAGAAATTTTATAAGTGAGGTTTGTCTGTTTTGTGGTTCTATAATTATGCATTGAGTGTTCATTATTTCATTTAAGGACATATTTATGGGGCCCTTGTACCGAAAATTTAAGAATGAGCTTTACATGTTTCAACAGCTTGTTTTGCTTTCAGTTTTATTTGCTTGGGTTGGGGTCCAAGTGTTTTGTTGTCATTTATAACAATCTCCTCTGGTAAGATGTTTAAACTTATAACTAGATCAGATAAAGAATTAGCTAACTCTCACCAAAAGGAAACAGCACTTGCTAATCAAAAGCTCGAGCTATCCTCCTTCTGAACGTCTGTACAACTGCTGTCGTTCTATAGCTATAATCATAATCATGGCTGTGTTAGAGACTTTCCACTTGATGACAAATATACATGGCTCTTCATTTGTCATGGTGTGAGGAATCTATCTGTTAACTGCTTTATGGATCTATCAATTAATTATAAGATGGCTAGGGTGTCCAACTTAGGTGTATCCGGTATTTGAAATTTTATACTTCTTATTACAAGAGGTTTTTCTTTAATGAACAGCATCGCCTTTTTTGATATAATAAATATGGCTCCCTCCAGTTCCAAATATAAGTTCTCTGTCAAAATCACTGCCACTGCTCAAGCGACATTGGACTTAAATTAGGAGTATTATGAAAGAGCTTTTAGATAACTTGGAGTTGTTGCAAATGTTAAGATGTCTTAAAGAGCTATGACGACTAGTTCTTTCCTTGTGATAAATTGCATTGATGATATCATCAAATTGTTTTATTTATTTATTATTTTAAATAAGTGATCTAAATTTGTTTGAGTTTTAATACAGATGTGTGATAATGGAATTAGCATCTTCTCTTGTTAAAGGAGCCAAGGAGGATCTCATCAATCTAATCTATACGTTTGCTAAAGATACTTTACAGGTATAAAGCTGATTTTTATTGCTTTCATGGCATGATTTTTATTTGTACATTTTATTGTTTTTGTTGCTGTTTATTTCTGAAATCATACTTATTCTGTATTTAGAATGATGACGAGGTAGCGAATCGTGAAGCATACCATGCTTTGAGCAGAATTCTAGAGGTTTGCACTGATATCTTGGTTAAACTTTCCATAGATAATGTTTTTTGCTTTGTTCATGGCTTAAGTTCCTATTCCCTGTATGTTTGAAACTAATGCAGGAGCATACTTGGTTCTGTTCTTCCCAATTTGCTGAGTTGATTGATCTGTTACTTTGTTTGAGATCTCCTGTTGATATCCATTCTCTAAAGAGTCGTTTCGCTTGTTTCCAGACTTTAATGATTCATACTTTGAAGGTCAGAATTATCTCTTTACGAATGTCATGCATATCTATCATTTATAAACGTTGTAATTTGCCATTGTTCTTGATACAGTAGTAGAAGGTCACTTAATTTGTTTCAGAAAAGTGAGAAAAATATAGAGAGGACATGTGACTCTAGCTTTTCCATCTGTGTGTATTTCACTTCATCCACTCCTTTCCTCCGATCCTTTTTATGGTTTTTTTTTAATTTCCTAAATCTCCTTTTCTATCCTAATTACATGAAGTTCTGAATTTACCCAATGTTATGGAGAACCTAACTGATCGTTTTATAAATTGCATGCACCTCTGTATGAGCTTATTTCATGACTCAAGATGATAAAAGTAGACATCAATATAATTGTGAGGTGTGACAAAAGTGGTGTGATGGTTCTGATGCATGCTTCGATGTCGACTTTTTAGTGTATAGCTTGAAAGCATTTGCTAGGTTGTTTACTATTTAGAATTGCATAAATTATTTATTATGGTCCAATTTTACTATCATATCTTACGAGTTGAGAACAACTTCCCCCAGAAGTTGTCCAAAATTCTCTTTTATCTCGTGTGATATTGGAATTGCTAAACTACTACCATTTTCTTTACATGCAACTTTTAACACCTTGCTTGGTGTGATTGGATAGAGTAAAATTATTATTCTCCCGTCCACTTTGTCCTTTTGTCATAATTCTAATTCTGGATACTTTCCAACTCAATGGTTTTTTTTGGCTTATTTACTGTTTCACCCCCTGGAACTCGAGCTTGCTCTCACTTAACCACCCAGAATTCAAATTTCCTCACTTTACCCCCCGAATCTCTAAAAATTGATGAAATTTTCTCACCTTACCACTTCTGTCCATTTCTGTCCACAAAACCGTTAAGTGTGCTGAGGTGGCATGAGCATTCTAGTAATTTTAGCCCCTCTATCTTTTCTCTTCTCTCTGCCTCTCTCTCTCTCTCTCCCATCGCATCCCACCCTACCCCATCCCCTCTTCTCTCTTCTATCTGCCTCTCTCTCTCTCTCTCTCTCTCTCTCCCTCACACACACACACACACACACACACACACACACACACACACACACACACACACACCCAGAGAGGCACATAGTTATCATTTTATAATTGAAATTTGTTTATCTTCCCCCCCTCTCCTCTCTTCTCTCTGCCTCTCTCTCTCTCTCTCTCTCTCTCTCTCTCCCACACACACACACACACACACACACACACACTCTTTGCCTCTCTCTTCTCTCCCATCCCCTCCCCAGACCCAACCCCCAGCGCACCTCCATCGCGCCCCACCCATTCCCTCCCTCCACCTCTCCCCTTCTCTCTCTCTCACTCTCACTCTCTAGATCTTTCTCTTCTCTCTTATCCCCTCCCCAGACCCAACCCCCAGCGCACCCTACTCCTTTCCGACCCTCTGCCTCCCCCTCTCTCTCCCATCCCATCACTCTCTAGGCCTCTCTCTTCTCTCCCCTCCCCAATCCCCATCGCACCCCACCCCTCCCATCTTCTTTCTTCTCTGTGCCCTTTTCTCACTCTCACTCTCTCTGCCGAGAGAGAAGATGGGGAGTGGCTGTCGAGGAGATTTTTTGAAATTTTTTTGAGTGGTGGTGGTTTGGGTGTGTTGAGTAATTCCATGGAGTGTTAGGTCTGGAGTGGGGGTTGGGTCTGGGGAGGGGAGAGGAGAGAAGAGAGAGGCAGAGAGAGTGAGAGTGATAGAGAGAGATAGAGAGAAGAAAGAAGAGAGGGAGGGGGTGTGCGATAAGAGTTGGGGAGGGTAGAAAGGTCATTTAATGGGAAAATGAGACAGTGTTGAGAGGAGGGGTGAACATTTGAGACAGAGTGGGAGAATGGGGGGTAAAGTGAGAAAATTTGAGTTCTGGGTGGTTAAGTGAGAGTGAGCTCGAGGTCTAGGGGGTGAAACAGTAATTTTTATTTTTATTTTTTAACAACTGTGTCTATTCACTGTTTCGGTCTGTGCTGGTGTTATAACTTCATCTCAGCTTTCATGTGCTAGTTGAAGTCTTGGTGTGATCTTATAATTGGTTTTTAATGTGTAGATTTTTGCACTCTCTAATTAACAACTCTTTTATCCCATTTGATTCTTTATTTTGTGTAGAACAAATTTATGCATCTTTGTATTTCCATTGCAATTGTATAGTGACAATTCAATGTCTCATGACCAGACCAAGGATAACTTTTGCTGCAGCAAGTAGGGAAAATCATGTGTTTTTTCTGTCATCAATATGGCGTACTAATCGTACTTTTTCCGACATCTTATATTCGTTCTCTGTTAACATCTTTACTTTTTCTGCAATGTGCATGTGCAACAATGGCCATTTTAGTGGGATTACATGGTCAGTTGAACACTTCGTTTAATCTTTATAAATGATTTTTGCAGGTAGACTCAGAGGTGGAAAATTCAAAGTCGTTTCTTATTCTCAATGAAATCATAGTAACGTTAAAGGATGTAAGAACTCTTTTGAGATTTTGATGATTCGTTCATTGTTTTGATATATCCTTGTGTTATTGTTCTTCTTATGTTGTTCCACCTCTTTGTGTGTGAGCCTTTTAAATCTTCTGTTTGCCTGATTCTTTATATAGGCTGTGGCATATCCAAGCTGTCATGGTCTAATGATTTGTATTTAAGGCTAATCATCACATAATTTTCATGATATAAGACACGGATCTGTTAATAATTTTTGGTGTTTCTTGATTTGTAGGCCAAGGATGAAGCAGTTAGGGAAGCAGCGTATGATATACTCCACAAAATGAGTGTTCGCTTGAGAGACACATCATGTGTCAGTTCAGATGGACCTTACCAGAAGCTAATTAACATGGTAAGTGGTTTGCTTATCCCACTTGAAGCTCTTTTATGAGTGATATAGCTTATAATGCTTATTTTCTTGAGGCAAAATGCATCTCTCTGCTACTCATTTATGTGATAATGCTAGTTTTGTACTGTGCTCAAATGATTGGTGGAGGAATCTAGTTAGTATTATATTGTTAAATTGCTTGACTGGATTACATCCAGATGTATGTATATATGTATCTATATTAAAATTTATTTTAGTGTTTTTAGTTTTTCTTGGTTCAAAAGTTTTTAGTTTCTTATTATGTTTTCTAGTTCTTGATTATGTTTCTGAGTTTTGTAACAAACTGAACATGATAATTGTTAATGCTTCTGCTCTAGGGGGTGTGTTGGAAATAGAATTATTTTGTAATTAGGACCCTCCTAATATTTGCTTTCCTAGTTTGTTTAATAAGGGTGATCTAGTTTCTTGATTTGATTGTAATTTAATTTCCTCTTGGATTCTCATTCTCTTTCTATTTTCTCAACAGACTAACTGTACATCCTGAAAAAAAAGAATCATATATAAGTAATATGTAGAGAATGGAAACTAGTATGCTCCAATCCGTCTTCCTTATGAGCGTTCTTGCTCACATTAGGCCCTTGTTGGATGACCTGGTTCTGGTCTGCTGTATGTTTATCGACTGATTATTTTACAATATTCAGATAATGGGCTATCTTTCCGGTGGATCACCTCACATAAAGAGTGGAGCAGTGTCTGTGCTATCAGTGCTGATGTATAAGGATACAGATATTTGTCTTTCGATGCCTGATCTTGTTCCCTCTCTTTTATCTTTGCTGCAAGGAAAAGCTCTAGAAGTTATAAAAGTGAGTGTTGTTACTTCTGATGGCATTTGTTTTTTTATTATTTCTGTTTTTGTTTATGCCAATGAGCTTCTTTTTGGACCTGAAATGCTAATGAGTTAGTTGCTGCACATTTAACAGGCTGTTTTGGGCTTTGTGAAAGTACTAGTATCTTGCTTACAAGCTAGACGTCTGCAAAATCTTCTTCCTGATATCGTCAATGCAGTTCTCCCATGGTCACCTGTCTCGAGACATCATTTCAAATCAAAGGCACGTACATATTTAACAATAATGCTTTTAGTGGCTATACAAATGCACACGTATATTTATGTTTGTAGAATGTTTATCCATATTCACATTTTTGCATGTAAACATTTTTTGTTTTTTGCACCTTGATCATGTTTGTTTTATCTACAGGTCACAATCATAATGGAGATTCTGTTAAGGAAGTGTGGTACTGCAGCAGTTCAGTTAGTTACGCCAGATAAATACAAGAATTTTGTCAAGGGTATTTTGGAGGTAATTTTCCTTTTATGTTTGACATGTTGAGTTTCCATATATTGAACCTTTTGAAAAGGTGATTTGATGGTTAAGTTCGGGGTACCCATGTTTTAACACGTGCTGGCCAGAATTAAACCTTCATGTCGCACATAATACATATTCCTCTTTTTTATGATTGTTTCCTATTATTGCCTTAATTTTCACATTGTAACATTATCAAAAGAAAATTAATCATTTAGCTGAGCCGAATTTGTTGACATGTCTAATCTGTTGATTTGAACTGAGTTGATGAATCAAATTTCAATGTGTGACATCAGAAACTGAATTTACCGTGCAATGTTACTGCAGAGCCGCCATAACAAGAAAAGTTCCAACGAAATTGCCACAACCGATATAGATACAAGTCATGAAGATTCTTCAACCAAAAGGTCTGATATCATTGTACTGACCAGTTGTATTTGCCAATATACTAACTGTATTTAGTTTACATTGTCTCACTGCTGTTGAACTCTTTCTTAAAGGATGGAGGATAGAAAACGCAAGGGATTTGGTATGCAACCTGAAAAGAATGGATCAATGGAAAATAGAACGAGAAAAAGGGCGAAGAAACACATGCCCAGCGACCCTAGAACGAATGAGCTTCATATGTCTTCTTGGGGTGGACTGAAGCGTGCTGGGAGAGGTAGGCAATCTGATGGTGTAAAATCAGTTAAGGACCAGCCAGAAAGAAGTGGAAAGACAAACAAAGAGAATTATAATAAAGGGCCCAAAAGTGGTCGCAAGAGGAAGATAGATGAAACAAATATGAGCGAGGATGCAGCTGGGAGGCAGAGACCTGGCACTAATAGTAATAAATCCATCAAATTATTCAAGCACAAAAAGGTTGGGAGAAAACAGTAGATCATTGATTAGGGTTGTCATTTTTGTCCGACTAATGTATGATTAACATGTGTATGTCTAAATTATCCAATATGAGTTGGGATGATATTCTTAATATGACATGGTAGCATATATGAATCCCATATGAACATTGGGTTCGGGTTGAATACAAATGTGGGGATGACAGAGTTGTGTTAGTGTCAAATTTTGTATTATATAATGATAATGCTTTTATATATTTTCTTCATTTTCATTTGGGCAGCATTTTTATTTTGTAGCTAATGAGTGATGTGTTTGCAAGGCATTTGTAGTTGGAAGTGGTTATGAAGAATTAGAGTGCATATGCAGTTCTGTAATTTTAACTCCTAATGAAACTTTTTCTTTTGGACAGAACTCCTAATGACACTTGTCTAAACAGAGAAAAAAAAACCATTAATAGCATCATTAGAACTCAGTGAAAACCCTAAACCCTTCAGCTCCCTACGGCCCTGGCCTTTCAGCCGAAGATATTACAAACTTTCCATTGCGCTCTACTCAAACTCTAGCCTTCGATTCACCAATAATTTGAGTCTTCACCATTCATTAAAAGCTCCACGCAACAAGTATCTTTCATCTGTATATCATGGCCGTACAGCAAATTAATTTATTCATTTTAATAATGATGTTTCTTCTTCCCATTCCATTTTCTTTCGTAATTCAATACCAAGCAAATTCGTTAGTGATTTGCATTTGTGTAATTGGTGTTAATAGATTTAAAAAAAAATTATTTATAAAAACTAATAGAAGCTGAACTTGGAGACGAGCATAATCAAGTTTTTTTAATTTTTAATTTTTAATATAAGCGATAGTTTAAACTACAAAGAGAAAGGAGATCCTTTTTTATTGAAATCACTGGTTTACAAGTGAAGGCCCTTTTTTATTGATTACTGTTTTTCCTTTCTATCTCTTTTGCAAAATTTATTTCATGACAAACAACATTGTAGTGTAAAGTAACTCAAAAACTTTTTACCAAAAAAAAAAAAAAGTAACTCAAAAACTTTCGAATTGAAAACACCTTTTTTTTATAATTAAATATGTGCAATTATTTCTAAGTTGTAATGTACTGTGAGTTCCTTGCTATTAATTTTATAAAACTTTTTTTTGGCTAATCTTTCAACGTTCATAACTAATTTATTTATAAAGAAATTAATATTTTAGGTTTTTTAGGTTTTAGACATAAAAAAAAATTTACTTTTGGAAAAAACCAAAGCTTTTTCAAAAAAGACAAAAAAACCACTCAACTTTCAAATCAAAGACATGCAAATGTATTGGATTCCTTAGGAAATCTAAAAATAAATAAGGGCATTTTTGTCCATTTTTGCTTCTTTTAAAATTTTTCTCTCTCCTTTTACTTTTTCCAAAATGTCCTATTTTTGTTCAAACCACCGTCTAATATTTATATAACCTGCTCACTCCTTGGTTCTAACATACAATACAAATGAAAATAAGACAATAGCCGAGTGAGCCCTCAAGAGTCCAGCATCGCTCGCACCCTAATGGGAAGGCCATACAGCCTAATGAACCCAGCTGCATCAGCTTGATCATAGACATCCCCACTCTCAAATGAGGAGATGTCTTGCCTGTACAGGCTGTATGGGCTCTTCCGGCTGGTCACAGTAATGGAACCCTTGTACAACTTGAGAGTTACTGATCCTGTTGTTGTTTTCGAGATTTCCTCCATGAATGAATCAAGAGATTCGCGAAGCGGGTCGAACCACCTGCCTGCATACACCAGCTCTGCGTATTTCAGGGCTAACGAATCTTTAACCTGCATTGTTTCTCGGTCCAGTGTTAGATTCTCCAGCTCACGTGCAGCAGCGAATAGGATGGTGCCTCCAGGAGTTTCATACACTCCACGGCTCTTCATACCAACGAGCCGGTTTTCAACCATGTCAACACGGCCAATTCCATGTTTTCCACCAATCTGATTTAGATGATCAAGTAGAGATGCTGGTGACAACTTCTTCCCATTGACTGAAACTGGAATACCGGAAACAATCCCGATATCTACATACCTTTAGGAAATGAAAGCATGGGCAAGATGCATAAGAAAATGCACTCATAACACAAAGTAAAAGCTAATACACATAGGTTCAAAGTGGAACTTACTCAGGTTCATTTGGTGCATCTTCTGGATCGACTGTTAACATGAACATATCCTTCTTAGGCTCATTTTCCGGGTCTTCCAAAATATCACCCTTTGATCAATTCCATAAATATATACACAAATCAGAGAGAATTTTAGAAAGCCAAAGATGAAGCAAAAGATTTCATATGACAAGATAGTAGTTATCCAGACAAAACAAAAAAGAGTTGTAAAGATTATACCTCATGACTAAGGTGCCATAAATTGCCGTCTCTGCTGTATATGGATTTCTTTGTCACTGGAACAGGCACATTATGCTTCTTAGCATATTCAATAGCATCTTCTCTACCTCTAATATCCCACTCCCTCCAAGGAGCCACAACATTTAGTTTGGGATTGAGAGCAAAGAAGGTCAGCTCAAAACGAACCTAAGCAGACAAGATAGGTTGTGTCAGAAGAAATACATGAGTTGGTATGACCAAAGAAAAAAAAAATACGTGAGTTGTGATATTAAATGCTGCATTGCAAGGCATGCCTGATCATTTCCTTTCCCAGTGCATCCATGAGCTACGGCATCAGCTCCAACTTCTTTGGCAACATCTACCATGGCCTGTTTTCAGGAATGTCGTTGTATGTAGTTATAATATTTTTTTCAACGAGAGGAGTATAGATATATCATGACACAGACGAGACAAAATATGTGTCAAATTCAAAAACTGAGCTACTACGGAGCTATACTCAGCAACAAACCAGACAGAACAGACCTCAGAAGAGCATATTTAAGAAATCCAAAAGGCAGTATCTTGGCTGTCCACATATCAATCCATAAAGGTGATGTTTTTGTAATTAAAACAAAACATCATATTGAGAGATCACCTTAGCAATAACAGGGCGGGCCATGGAAGTCCCCAGCAAGTATTTCCTCTCATATATGGCACCAGCTCGCAAGCAAGGGAATATATAGTCGTTTACAAACTCCTCCTTTAGATCCTTTACTACTAACTGAGAAGCCCCACTGGCCTTGGCCTTCTTTTCCAGACCTTCCAATTCTTTTAAACCCTAAAATTTTAGATAAAATAGCAAGCACACAAGTCAGAAGCAATTATTACCGCCCTAAGGTGCATTGCAGAAACAAGAAAGTTTTGACTTTGAAGTAGATGTTGCTAATTCCAACTTACTTGGCCAACATCAGCTGTGAAACAAACAACATCACAACCGTAATTCTCCCTGCAAATAAAAAAATAGTTGCACAAAACCATAAAAATGAAGTAAATAATCAGAAGTACAAGCTAGCAAGTTAACTGTGGCCTTGGAAAACACAAGAACAACATATGCAATATGCATCAACAAGCATTAACAGTGGGCGAAACGAAATGGTGCATTGGGTACATGAAACAGGCTGTATTGAGCAACAGAAGAGAACTATCCAATAAGGAATTTCACTAATCTTTAATCAGACAGTAATTTTTTTTTATAATCCTTATAAGTTGCAGTAAAAAAAAAACCATATTTTGCAAGTATCTCAACTATTCTGTGAAAGAGTATGGCAATAAAGCAAATCTTGAGAAGTTAAGATATGTGCAGACATAAAGAGGATAAATTGTTATGTTTTATTAACTGCATAACATTGTTGCATTATCCCTTAAACTCCTTTCATAAGCATTAGCCAAAAGTTTGTTATAAACCTCCTTATATGTTTCCTCTACAATCAAACTATCCAGAAAGTATGAGACAAATTGAATAATTATTGGAATATGGATACGGCTGCAATTTATGGCCCCTGTACATGAAAGCTATTGTTCCTCGAAAAATTATTATTCAAGAACTTCCAGAATTTGCATAGACATCAAAAAGAAAATCCATTCATGATGAGTTTCATGCTCCATGAGACATAATTACTTTTTTTTTTGGTGGAGGGGATCACTACAACGGTCAATGAAATGATAAAAGAAAACAGGGGGATTACCTTAGCCACGGAACGATGACTGATGTATCTAAGCCACCACTGTAGGCCAGAACAACCTTATTCAACTTGCCACGTAATCCTCTTTCCTTTGTAGATCCAGATACTTCTGTCTCACTATAAGTGGGCAGCACTGCTCTAATAACTGCATTCATTTCAAGATAAATATTACATTAGCATCTAATACCTCAAATATTACAGAACCAATGGAAGAGTGAACTTAGAAAATGGAAAGAAATTGTGTGAAATAAGTGAATCTATCCAATTGAGGAATTCTTGATTGAGAAAAAATGATTCCCTCTTAGCTAATACTATCAGGAGCTGATCAACGTAACATGCATCTCTTTTAACTCCTTTATCTCTCTAACCTTCCAACGTGCATACACACGTATACATGCTCTTCACAGTACTTATCCATATGTTTAATCCATTCACAACCACCCTTCACTAAGTAGATGTATACGCCAAAGTTCTTGAGATGTTAATATGCGATCCAACAGTTCTGATTTTTCTGTAGCTAAACATATTCCTAACTGTCCAATGAAAGTCAATTTGGAAGAAGTATCTGTAGCTATGCTATGACTTAAAAGGGGGTTTCAAAACCTCATCACGAAATAATTTTTGAAGACACAGATTTATAAGGTTATTGCATGCTTAAAATAAACAATCATAGGAAACATACCTGTAGCCAATGTTTTACAGTAAAAGAAAACTAGAAGCTTGGAAGAGTCTTCTCTACCTTATTCTCTAATTCTCTATACTGAAGGCTTAAGTGAGTTCAGCAGCTCAGAAATAAACATCAGGGGAGGCAAGGATCTGCTCTTTTGTTTGCTCTCCCATGAGCTAGAATGCTAGCCTTAAACTAGAATGCCACCTAACATACCCATGCATCTTTACAGAAGTTCTACTGTCTGTGTGTACCTTAACGGAAATGCACAACATGCATACGAAATACTAATTTGCAAAACTTTTCACAGTTCAAAACGTTCACTAATGTCATCTCACCATATGTGATCATTGCAATGAACTCATTAAGTACACTTTAATAACTGAGGTGCCAGAATACATTTATATTATGCACATATGTGGGTGTTCAGTAAAAACAACACAAAAGAAAAAAAAAAGAACAAACAAATACGGCATGTGTGGATTTAGATCAAATTCC